TACATGTTGAGGCTTGTGTGTGTGTGTGTGTGTGTGTGTGTGTGTGTGTGTGTGTGTATGTGTGTCTGTGTTTGCTTTGTTGCCCAGGCTGGAGTGCAACAAATCTTGGCTCACTGCAACCTCTGCCTCCTGGGTTTAAGCGATTCTCCTGCCTCAGCCTCCTGAGTAGCTAGGATTACAGGTAGGTGCCACCATGCCTGGCTAATTTTTTTGTATTTTAAGTACAGACAGGGTTTCTCCATGTTGATCAAACTGGTCTTACTCCTGACCTCAGGTGATCTACCTGCCTTGGCCTCCCAAGTTGCTGGGATTACAGCAAAGGCTGCCTTCGCCTCTGGCCATTCATACATATTTTGAAACAATACTTTTCAGAATAGCCAAGTCAATTCATGTACTGTCACAAGCTAAACACCAGTAGGGACATACTCCTTAAGTGTACCACATAAACAGAGAGTGATTTCTGTAAGCCAGAGGACACTGGCTAATTCTTCACAGGATGCCAGATAACTCTGTTTGGGCTTCTTGTAACACCCACTAGAATTATGATTTGGGGACCATTTCCATTGCAAATCCCCTCTTTCCACGCCCCTTTAAAAGGCAGCTGCGATATTTGGCTTTCAACCAAGGCCTGCTGCATCCACAATTCTCTAAATTTTATTTATATTTCATGTGCATTCCCCAGGTGCCAGATGCTGGTTTGGACACACTCCAGTGGAAAGTGCTTTCCTGTAAAATCAGAAAAGCAAAATACGGAACAAACCTCCTCTTTATATCAGACCTGCACCACGTATACCAAAGTTAAGTATGCTAATATTTGCAGTCCCCCAAATTGCCTGCTCACCAGTGGCTTGTCCTTTGGCTGTCATAGCATGTAAATGCTGATAGCCCCTTCACATTTCTTTTTTCTGAGAGGGAATCTCGCTCTGTCACCCAGGCTGGAGTGCAGTGGTGTGATCTTGGCCGATTGCAACTGTTGCCTCCTGGGTTCAAGTGATTCTCCTGCCTCAGCCTCCTGAGTAGCTGGGATTACAGGTGCCCTCTACCACACCTAGCTCAATTTTGTATTTTTAGTAGAGTCAGGGTTTCTCCATGTTGGCCAGGCTGGTCTTGAACTCCAAACTTCAGGTGATCCTCCCACCTTGGCCTCCCAAAATGCTGGGATTACAAGTGTGAGCCACCGTGCCCAGCATATTCCTTTAGTTTTCATAATTTCGAAAGTGTCGGAGTGTAGGAATCTCATGCTTTTTCAATAGTTCCTAATCTATGTACTCAATGCATGGACTTTTCAAATAGAATTTGGATGAGATGATAAAACATTGTAACCCATTTACAGGATTTTAAAAGACACTGAGTAACTTAATATATATGATATGAGTAGCTTTCATTGTTTTCACCAATGGTGGGTGGTGGTTCATGGCTGTAATCCCAGAATTTTGGGAGGCTGAGGTGGGCAGATCATTTGAAGCCAGGAGTTCAAGACCAACCTGGCCAACATGGAGAAACCCCGTCTCTACTAAAAATACAAAAGTAGCCGGGCAAGGTGGCACCCAACTGTAGTCCCAGCTACTCAGGAGGCTGAGGCAGGAGAATTGCTTGAACCCAAAGGCAGAGGTTACAGTGAGCCAGGATTGTGCCATTGCACTCCAGCCTGGATAACAAGAGCGAGACTCCCTTAAAAAAGTTTTCACTAAAAAGTGATGGTTTCTGTGTGTGTTTCATGATATTGTCTCTACAGTGGCTGGACTTTCAGCATGAGTCTCCTCAGAATCAAGGTGGAAGCTGACTTTGCAGCAGGGTTCTAGTGTGCTTGGAGGGCAGTCCTCTGCGCCTAGGGTCTCAGCTGTGTCATGAGCGATAGGAGGAGGTGACCAAGAAAGTGGATATAGGGCCGGGCGCGGTGGCTCAAGCCTGTAATCCCAGCACTTTGGGAGGCCGAGGCGGGTGGATCACCAGGTCAACAGATCGAGACCATCATGGTCAACATGGTGAAACCCCGTCTCTACTAAAAATACAAAAATTAGCTGGGCATGGTGGCACGTGCCTGTAATCCCAGCTACTTGGGAGGCTGAGGCAGGAGAATTGCCTGAACCCAGGAGGCGGAGGTTGCGGTGAGCCGAGATCGCGCCATTGCACTCCAGCCTGGGTAACAAGAGTGAAACTCCGTCTCAAAAAAAAAACAAAAAACAAAAAATTAGCTGGGCATGGTGGTGCACGCCTGTAATCCCAGCTACTCGGGAGGCTGAGGCAGGAGAATTGCCTGAACCCAGGAGGCGGAGGTTGCGGTGAGCCGAGATCGCGCCATTGCACTCCAGCCTGGGTAACAAGAGCGAAACTCGGTCTCAAAAAAAAAAAAGAAAAGAAAGTGGATATAATTTGTAGAGACGCCAATCCACTCTCGGCTTCCATTGCCACCCGCTTCTACCTGTTTTATACGGTAACATTTCGCCCCGCTGAAAACCCGTACCCTTCCTTCCAATACCCTAGAAAAACGGAGAACCTTCCATGTGAAAGCGTTTTGTGCAGAAAGCTTGACATTACAATTAGCTCCCGAAAGGCGTCCGGTGGTGTGTGTGCGCGCGGAAAGCCGCTGTAACATGACAACGTCGCGCCTGGTGTCCCGCCGGGATCGTTTCACAGCTGGAGTCCTCTCGGCCTCAGGGGTCACTCTGCCCTTAGGTGGCGGGGGACGCTCCGAAGCGGCGGGTTTACATCTTCCACGTGGCCGGCCGGGCCCCGCACCTGCTGCGCGCGGCGGTGGGGGCCGGGGAGGCGCTGGGAGCCGGAGGACTCGCCCCGGACCTCGGACCACCTGCTTCATCCAGTTTCTCCCTAAGCGCCGAGAGCGTCCCGCCCGCGAGCAGGAAGAACAAATCCCTAGAAACGTTCTCAACGATCCACAGACCTGATCTGGTGCCCGAGCGGGTTCGGGAGCGCGGCCAGCGTGGTCTGGAGGCGCGCGGGACCCTTCGCGTCCATCTGCGGGGCTGACCCCCGGACCGATCCGCACGCTGCGACCTGCCCCCCGCAGGTATCGCGGGTGTTTGTTCTGCCACCCGGGTTCCCGGCAGCCGGCCAGGCCCACCGGAAGCGGCGAGGCGCCCTCGGCCCCCTCGGACCAGCTCATTAACACCCGAAGTCTGTGTCCAGCTAGGACCGCCCCCGCGGGAGGACGCGGGCCCATCATCGCCTGGGGGAACTGGGGGAGGCAGGCGGAACGAGGGGGCGGGGCGTGGAGCGGGGGAATGAGGGGCGGGGCGGGGGCAGGAGGAAGGGGGGGAATGAGGGGGCGGGGCCAGGACGGTGGGAACCAGGGGGCTGGGGGGAAGGGGGGAGATGGGCGGGGAGAGGGGTGGAGGCAGGAGGAGGCGGGGAATGATGGGGCGGGGCCAGGGGCGGGGGGAACGAGGAGGCCGGGCGGCGGGGGCGGGCTTTGTGCAGGGACGGAGGGAGAAAAGGCCGGGAGGAACAAGGCCAGGGTGAGGGGCTCCGCCGGGGGCCGGGGTCTCCGGGGGTCTGGAGGGAATTTAGAATCGGGGGGTGGAGAGAAAATGGGGGCCGGACTGCAGCCCGAGAAGCGCCGGCTCAGGGACTCTTCTTTCTTCACTTCCGCCCAGGCTTTCCCGGGAGAGTGAGGCGTTGCGGGTCCGGCTTCTCTCCGGAGCGATCATCCCGCATACCCGGCCAGCTGCTGCGGACTCGGCCCGGGAGGACAGTGCAGGCCCCGGACGGCCGCAGAGGGGGCGGGGCGCGGGCCTGAGGGGCGTGGCCTGGCGGGGGGGTGGGCAGAGGGGGCGCGGCGGAGGTCGGTGGAGGGGCGTGGAGCGGGTGGGCAAAGAGGCGTGGCGCGGGCTGAGGGGCGTGGCGAAGGCGTCCCTCGTGGGCGGGGCTCCGCTCTCCCCAGTGCCCGCCGCTGCCGCCGCCTTCGCCCGCCTCGCGGACTGAGGGAGACTGAGGGAGCTTGGGGGTCGCAGCCGCCTGCTGGGCCTGCGGTGGGCCAGGATGTCGGGCTTCCTGGAGGAGCTGCTGGGCGAGAAGCTGGTGACGGGCGGCGGCGAGGAGGTGGATGTGCACTCGTTGAGCGCCCGCGGCATTGCGCTGCTCGGGCTCTACTTCGGTTGCAGCCTGAGCGCCCCCTGCGCGCAGCTCAGCGCCAGCCTGGCCGCCTTCTACGGGCGCCTGCGGGGGGACGCGGCGGCCGGGCCGGGACCGGGGCCGGGGGCGGGGGCTGGGGCGGCGGCGGAGCCCGAGCCGCGGAGGCGTCTGGAGATCGTCTTCGTGTCCTCCGACCAGGACCAGCGGCAGTGGCAGGACTTCGTGCGGGACATGCCGTGGCTGGCGCTGCCCTACAAGGAGAAGCACCGGAAGGTGAGCGACCGGGCCTCGCCACCCCTGCCCGACCCTCCCCTGCCGCCCCTGCCCGCCCCCCGCTGACCGCCCTCCCCGCCGTCCCCCGCCCTCCCCCACTGTCCCCCGCCCCCGTCCCGCTGTACGCCCGCTTCCGGAACCCCACTGTCCCCCTTCCCTCCCCCCGCTGGCCCCTGCCCCCCTCCACCCCGCGCTGTGTCCGCGCCCTTATCCCCAGGACCCGTCTCTGGCTCGGGGGTTCCGCGGCAACTCCTCGATGCGGGTCCACCTAGGTCCCCGGGACCCCGGCTCGAGCCCTTCCCACCCCCGGTCCACACGCGTTGGGAGCCTCGGGTAGGGGCGGCTGCGCTCGGGGGTGCGGGTTTCGAGATCTCTTCCCCCCCGAGCAGAGGCGCTGGGAGGGGTCCCTTCTTGCCTCAGCCGCCGACCTCCCCGGGTCCCCACTGTGAGGAGGGGAGAGGAGGCCGCGCGCCCCCCGTCCGCAGTTCCCGGAGTGGGAAGTTTCCTCCCGAGAGAAACCGCTTTCTCGGAGCCCCGTCCCGGGGACCTAGGGGCTGAGGCCGAGGTCAGGCCGCCCCCAGCCCCGGAGAGGCCCCCGGCGACCGTGGCTGTGGCCGAGAAGGGCGCTCGCCCCTCTATCCCCCGCGCGCGCCTCTCGGCCCAGCCTGAGTTCGGGGCCCCGGGGAAGCTGCATTGTCTCGCCTCCCGCCGGCCTCTCCGGAGCCTCCAGGCGCGGGAACGCGGCCGCGGCCCGGGGTGGGCCCTGTTGTTTCCGCGACCTTGGCATCATCGGGGCCCACCGCCTGCGAGGAGGATTTGGGGGAACGCAAGCTTGGCGTCCGCTCTCCCCGTTTCCCGGTTCGCTGCTGAGATTCGTTGAGGTCTGAGTGTCTCCCTCGGGTGCAGAGGTCTGTCTCTGTTATAGTACGACGCGTTCAGGACGTTTTGTGATGAATGGAGTCGGGAAAAGTTCTGGAGCGCTGTTGCTAGTGAGTGTGGCTCATGCAACGTGTGGATCCAGCCCCTTCCCCGTTTAAGGAAAGCCCGTTTCTGGAGTGGACTGAGGGGCTATTCTGGGGGCGTTTAGCTTCCTCTGGGGAGCATGGTGAGGCTGCCACGTGTTCCTTTTATGTGAACAGACTCTTGCTGAGAAGCAGGATTTACATTTGGTGGGAGCAGAAGCTTATACTTTGTGACCCCAGATGTCCTGAGGAAATCACTCATCCCGAAGCAGTGAAAGGTAGAGACTTGGGATTTAAAGTGTGACATACAGTTGTCCAGTGCGGTTTGTACATTTCACATGGAGAAAACACAGGCTCACGGCCTGTCCAAGGCAGGAGTTGGCATTTTAGCTGCACTCTAGGTTATCTTGTCCATTTTGATTGACGTGGTTGATAGATTATGAATATGCATGGCCACTACTTTTTGATTCAAAATACGGAATCCTTTGTTTTCCTTGGTGGTGGTTTTTATGATACTTTCGTGGGGAAATAATGTCCAGAAAGTGATTTACCAAAAAAAATTTTCATTGTTGGGGCAAGTTTCTGTTGTGAAGTCTATTTAGAATAGTGTCTGTATCGGGTGATACGAATGATTTCTAGCTTTTGAAAATATAGAGTGATGGTAAAATATTACAGGCTTAAGGCCTGTTGTGTTTTTTACTGAAGAGGAAATACATTTTTTGGTTAGTAAAAATATGGAGTAAACAGATGTTTTGCAAATGCCTGAAGCTTTTTCCTAAAAAGGAGAATATTTGATAGGCTGTGGCTGGTTCTCTATACCCTGGACAGACTCTTTGCATGACAAAGAGTATTCTGCAGCCCTAGGCTGGACCTCTGATTCCTCCATGATGAGCCTATGGATGAAGTAGGGCTGACTATCATTTGAAAATACAGTTCAGATGCTGGACGGCCCAAACCCTGGAGTGTTATTAGCATCTTAAACATGTATTTTTTTGCTCAGTTTTTCTGGCTCATGTCCTATACTTGATTCTCTAAATCCAGTCCAGTTTTCGAGGATGCACTTTCTGCCCTGGGTCGTGAAGGAAACCACTCAAGATCTTACCCCAGAAGCATTCTTATTCTCGGTGAGAGAGATACCAAGGAAAAAGACTCCAGCTGTCTTTCGTATGGAAAACATACTCTTGGAAATGACAAAAACTGTGTACAGACTGTAAAAGGAAGTGTTCCCCCCCACCCCCGCCTTGAAACCAAAGAGATGTAGAACAAATGCCTTTTCTGTAACCGAGTTATTGTCCCGTTTGAAGTTAGGGTGTTCAGAAGCACATGAGCTGGTGATGCTAATTTCACCGTCAGAGCAAGTAAAGAGCCCAGAGTGCCCCCAGGTGAGGGCACTGAACCGGCGAACACGTACCCCCATGTGAAGGCACTGAACGGGCGAACTTGTACCCCCAGGTGAGGGCACTGCATGGTCAAACGCTTGCCCCCCCAGTTGAGAGCACTGAACGAGCGAATGCCGTGCCCCCTAGGTGAGGGCACTGAATGAGCGAATGCCGTGCCCCCTAGGTGAGGGCACTGAACAAGTGAACACAAGCACGCCTTGTTGATGGACTCTGATCATGCCGTTGTACCAACTATAAAAATAGCTTTAGAGAAGGGAATTTTGTTTTACATTGCAGGGAAACCAGAGTTCCACATTGCTAATTTTTTTTCATTTCTCATTAACATTTGTTTTTTCCCATGGGGGTAACAAAGGGTATGGTTCTCATTAGCTATTGGCTTGCATTTTTCTTTTTTTTTTTTGAGACAGAGTTTCGCTTGTTACCCAGGCTGGAGTGCAATGGCGTGATCTTGGCTCACCGCAACCTCCACCTCCTGGGTTCAGGCAATTCTCCTGCCTCAGCCTCCTGAGTAGCTGGGATTACAGGCACGCGCCACCATGCCCAGCCAATTTTTTTTGGTATTTTTAGTAGAGACGGGGTTTCACCATGTAGACCAGGATGGTCTTGTTCTGTTGACCTTGTGATCCACCCACCTCGGCCTCCCAAAGTGCTGGGATTACAGGCTTGAGCCACTGCGCCCAGCCAGCTTGCATTTTTCTAAAGAAAATTGAAAAATTATGGTGGGTAAAGAAAATGCTGTGTGTTATTTATTTATTTTTTTAATTAATCTCTCTTTTATGTCGTAAAAGAGTCTGGGATGGCCATCTAAGCATGTATTTTGCCTGGTTCCTCTCACCTTGACTAGAGCTGAGAAAACACCAAAAGGAAAAAAATAATTACACAAAATTGTCCCATTTCTGCCTGTTGTCATGGTAGGCACAAAAGTAATTGAAGCTTAATGTTTCCAGCTTCCAAAACACACATTCTTATGTAGCTGTGCAGAAGCTGTAATTAGATGATATGAGAACTTTGAGTGTGTTATAAGAACGGTTTTTATAAGCAAGTGTATAATCTTGAAGTTAAGGCAGTTAGACGTGTTTTACAAAGTAGGTTGGTAGATGGCTTTCAGATTTCTAAAGAGAAAGAAGATGATGGGTGGTCAGGAGGGGTGAAATTTGGACTTTGGGGATTTGGTCTGTCCCTCTGGCTTAGTGTGTGTTGCTCAGTCATCCAGACTGGAGAGGTCCGTCTCCAGGTTCCACTTGAGTGTCACAGACGTGAGTACTGATTTTGGTTTTAAAGCCATGGAGCTCAGCTTTGTGTGGGCTAGATGCCCGATCAAAAACACATGGTCGTGTGGGTGCACCAACACCCGAGGGTGCAGACCACTGGCCTTCCTCTGGACAGTTTTGTGAGGCTCTGGTGTCGGCCCAGGACTTCCAGCATGACAAGGGAAAGAGAAAGCCTGCAGAGTCAGGGGACCCTGCTCCGGCATCCCTAGTCAGCCTGCTCCAGCCAGGGGAAGTGGAGTCTCCCTCTGGCTGCTCTGGGTGGTCCCTTCAGTTCAGATTAAATGAGAGGCTTGGCTGAGAATTCACCTGCATCCCTTCAGCTCCCTGGGTGGGGCAGGACTTGGTAGCAACCTCCAGGCTTCCAACTCCTCTCTCACCCGCTTCCTTGAATGTAAACACTTTAGCCAGGAAGGGAACAGTTTCTACAGCAGCACTGTGTCTTTTCTTTATATTCACTTTCAAGGTGGTAAAAGATGGCAGAAAGGTGCAGTCTTGAAAATTAGGATTTTCTGCTTTCTTCGTAAGGAGCCTGGACAGCCAGGACAAGCTCCTGCTGGTGACTGTGTTTCTGGAACCTGGGTTAGTGTATTAGTAATAAAGGATAACAGTCCAGTGAAGAGCAGGCCGGGCGTGACACCTCACACCTGTAAGCCAGCACTTTGGGAGACCAAGTTGGGAGGATCACTTGAGCCTAGGAGTTCGAGACCAGCCTGGACAACATAGTCAAACATTATCTCTACAAAACGTAAAAATTAGCTTGTCATGGTGTTGTGTACCTGTCTCAGCTACTTGGGAGGCTGAGGCAGGAAGATGGCTTAAACCCAGGAGGTTGAGGCTGCAGTGAGCCGTGCTTGAGGCACTGCACTGGAGCCTGGGCAACAGTGCAAGACACTGTCCTAAATGAATAAATAAATAAATAAAGTCATAAGAGCAATGTTCCTTGAGAGTCTTTTCCTTGTTCCATTATTTGTCATGTATTTTTAAATATCATTTTTCCTCTGCATAATAAGGCAGTCTATATACAGCTAAAAATGCAGATTCTTTTGTCTACACCCCAGCTCTGCCATGTATTAGCTGTGTGTCCTTGTGCAAGGCGCCGACACCTCTGTGCCACAGGTTCCTTATCCATTTGTAAAGGGGACGTGATAATAGCATCTGCCTTGTGTAAAGGCTGCATGAGATGATATCCCCATGCCTGGCATATAGTGAGTGCTCAATAAATGCTGTTATTTAAAATAAATGCTCATTAAGTCATTAATTTCATATCTTGAACCTATGGAGTGTATCACATCACAGAACTGCAAAAAAAAAAAAAAAATACACAAGGTGTATTTTTAAACTTTTCACGCCAGTGACTTACAAGCATACAAGAGGATTTCATGAAGGATTCAAAAAAATTGCCCTAGAATGGCCGGGCACAGTGGCTCATGCCTATAATTCCAGCACTTTGGGAGGCCAAGTGGGGAATCACCTGAGGTGAGGAGTTCAAGACCAGCCTGGCCAAAATGGCAAAACCCTGTCTCTACTAAAAACACAAAAATAACTGAACGTGGTGGCGCACGCCTGTGTCCAGCTACTCGGGAGGCTGAGGCAGGCGAATCCCTTGAACCCCAGATGACAGAGCAAGACTCCGTCTTGGGAAAAAGAAAAATAAAAAAAATTGCCTCACAAGAGATTATAACTGAGAAGAAAGACCTAGAAGAATGAAAGAACAGGCTGGGCGCGGTGGCTTAAGCTTGTAATCCCAGCACTTTGGGAGGCCGAGGCGGGTGGATCACGAGGTCAACAGATCGAGATCATCCTGGTCAACATGGTGAAACCCCGTCTCTACTAAAAATTACAAAAAATTAGCTGGGCACGGTGGCGCGTGCCTGTAATCCCAGCTACTCAGGAGGCTGAGGCAGGAGAATTGCCTGAACCCAGGGGGCGGAGGTTGTGGTGAGCCGAGATCGCGCCATTGCACTCCAGCCTGGGTAACAAGAGCAAAACTCCGTCTCAAAAAAAAAAAAAGAATGAAAGAACAAAAGCGAATGAATGTGGAATAAAGATGTTCCTTACAGTTCTGGGTATTACTGGTATTTACTAAGCTCTGTGTTGATATTTGCCAGTGATGCTCCAGACTGCTGCTGATCAGTGCAGCCTGAGAAAGATTTAAGTTACCTTTTAGTTACCATTTAAGTAACTCGAAGATGATCAGGCATTCTTCTTGAGAGAAATCATGTACAGAGCAGTCATTTTGTGGTTTCCCAAAGCTATTAGGTGTGTCTTCTGCTCACTTGTTTGCTTAACTGGGCCACTCAGAAGTTGAAGGATAACTCCTCTTTCACGTGGGAAATGGAGTGTGCCCATCTCCGGAGCAGTGGAAACCCCACCTCGAGCCTGGGCCTGCCTCCCTTCCCAGCTCTGGAATGCTGCGGGAGAGGTTTGCTCAGACATGTAGGGATTGCAGGTTTGGCTCTCTTCTCCCAGTTAGCAACTCAGACCTGACTCTGGGTAGCTGTCCACAGCAATGGCTAATTGATTTGTCTTCTGATTTGGGTTGGGATGGGAACCAGAGCACAGAGGCAGCCACTGGAAGTTATGGTCACTGATTTGATTCTCCTTTTAAAAAAATTCCTGGTTGGGCGAGGTGGTGCACACTTGTAATCCTAGGACTTTGGGAGGCTGAGGGGGGCGGATCACCTGAGGTCGGGAGTTCAAGACCAGCCTGGCCAACATAGAGAAACAGTGTCTCTACTAAAAATACAAAAAAAAAGCCAGGTGTGGTGGCACCGCTTGTAATCCTAGCTACTCGGGAGGCTGCAGCAGGAGAATTGCTTGAACCCGGGAGGTGGAGGTTTTGGTGAGCTGAGATTGCGCCATTGTACTCCAGCCCAGGCAACAAGAGCGAAACTCCGTCTCAAAAGAAAAAAAGTCAGGTGCATTGGCTCATACCTGTAATCCCAGCACTTTAGGAGGCCTAGGCAGGCACATCACAAGGTCAGGAGTTCGAGACTAGCCTGGCCAACATGGCGAAACCCCATTTCTACTAAAAATACCAAAGTAACCGGGTGTGGTGGCTCTGCCTGTAATCCCAGCTACACGGGAAGCTGAGGCCGGAGAATCACTTAACCCAGGAGGCAGAGGTTGTGGTGAGCCGAGATCGTACCATTTAACTCCAGCCTGGGCAACAAGAGAGAAACTCCATCTTAAAAAAAAAAAAAAAAAAAAGAGTCTCATATCTGTAGACCTATCATGCCCTGCTTTAATATTTAATTGTTTGCATTTTTCTATTGTCTTTCTTCCACAGAACTCAAAATGCATGTATATTACATCTTGTAGCAACTAATAATCAGTAAATATTCACCATTCTAACTTTTCAAAGTATGTTAGAGTTGAGAAATTGAAGCCAAGAGAACCGATGATCAGAGTTACAGTGCTGGAGGAAAGCACTTGGCTGGACTCCTTTAAATTCAGCTTGGTCAGCTGGGTGCAGTGGCTCACGCTGGTAATCCCAACACTTTGGGAGGCCGAGGTGGCTGGATCACAGGGTCAGGAGTTCAAGACCAGCCTGGCGAAGATGGTGAAACCCTGTCTCTACTAAAAATTCGTACAAAAAAAAAAATTAACCAGGTGTGTCGGCGGGTGCCTGTAGTCCCAGCTATTTGGGAGGCTGAGGCAGAGAATCGCTTGACCCCGGGAGGTGGAGGTTGCAGTGAGCCAAGATCATGCCATTGCACTCCAGCCTGGATGACAGAGCGAGACTCCGTCTCAAAAAAAAAAACATTCAACTTGGTCCTTTCTGTTCATGAAATTGTATCTTAAGAAATATTCACATCAAACATTCTGCGTGGTGATGGAGGGAGCCATGAGTTTGCTTCAGAC